TTATATATATATGTATATGAATAGGGCAGTTGTACTTAACCTGTGGGCTGTAGCCGCTACCCTATACCCTGTATCATGCACGCTCATCTGTTCCCGTGTGCATGCTCACACCCACTGCACACAGCCTGTTCGAGTTGCGTAATAAGGAGAGGATCTCAGTGCGTGCGGCCTCCAAGCTGCTGGGCAACATGGTCTACCAATACAGATCAATGGGACTGAGCATGGTATGTTCTGTGGTCTCAGCATAAGCTCACAACCATCGGTCGATTCATAGGCTGTGCGCGTGCAAGTGTTAGTAGCGTACATTGTCCTTGTGAGTTGTACTAGTATGCACAGCCTGGCAGAGTTATTATAGTGGACATAGCCCTCCGAAGGTGTGCCTATGCAACTTAGTCTACCTACACAGTTCAATGGGATGGGACTGAGCATGGTGTGTTTCATATCCGAAGTGCACACGTGGGAGCGTTTTGCTATGCCTGGCCATTGTGTGGGATGCTCTCACTCCTCCCAGGGTGTTCTATTATAAGTTGCATTTAGGAGACTATGTTTATACGTTTATTCATTTTATTGCTCTATGCGACGATTACCGACTGCATACATATACACACCAATAGGGTTGAGCAAGGCATGTTGTTTATTGCTTGTAGGCCAGGGGCATTGCTGAGAGGCCTATTGCGTTGTATGGCACTGTGTGGCCTTATTAACGGTACCTGTAGAGCTGAGCGAGGTGTATTTATGAGAGGTGACGTTCATTCCAGGCAAACCAAGATGTATCCTTGTAGATATATATATATATATAAATATACATATCGCATACTATTCAATTTTTTTTTGCTCGGCGAACAGGGTACTATGATCACAGGTTGGGACAAATCCGGCCCAGGACTATACTACGTGGACAGTGATGGCACACGATTGGGAGGTGATCTTTTCAGTGTAGGATCTGGTTCAACCTACGCGTACGGTGTATTGGATAGTAAGTAAAAATGAATATATATATATTAAACATATATGTACACACACACACACACAC